TAAAAAAATATTAAATATTGAAATAGAGGACAGAAAAATATTTCATTCACTGCAAATAATAGGAATTTCTTGTTAAAGAGTACTTGTCTCCTTTCTGAAGAATGAATCCACCTGAAAAGGTCAAGTATGAATTTATTAACTATATGAATAAATTAAATTTTTCGGCAGTACCGTTAATATACTTAACAGATTCATATGATATTGACAGTTTTTGAATTTGTTTATTTCTATACTCCCAACAGGTTGAGTTTCAAACCTTTCTTCTGCTAATGGAGGGGCTTGAATTCATGGTTGAATTCATGTCCCTCTGTTATCGAATGAGTGGCATATGCGGAATACATTTTTCCATTCTGGAAACTATTTTTGTGTTCTTTTATGCGGGCTCTGAACGTTCTTTCAGTTTGACCTATATAAAACATCAGACATGACCCACGTGATAATTTGTACACTCCCTATTTTTCTGAAACTGAACTTTCATCTTTGTTATTCATAATGTGCATGCCTAACTTGTTGTTGCTTTTGAAAGCAATATTTATACCTTTGTTGTGCAGAAAATATGAAATATTTGTAGTGGGTTGGCCTGAGTAGGTTAAGGTTCTATAACTTTCATCCTATTTTCTTCGAATTGGGTAAACTTCCTTCAAAGATTGGCTGTATAACTTTTTTGATAATAAAGAATGTATAAGACTTCTATCTTAATCGTTGTTGACGGCTTTTTGTTTTAATATGTTCAGTTCTTTATTAGAATTCGCCTCTGACAAGGAAACATTAATCAGCCTGGATCATACTGTTGAATGCTGATACTTTGTGCTGATGCGGGTGGGTGGACGAATTATGAATGATAATATCTGTATGTGCTGGTTTACCCCATTTTCCTGATTTTCCGTACCTAAAAATGAAGGTACGTTTTGAGAATGTAACGCCAAAATTCGATTCAAATGTTAAAAAATATTAGAATTCTAGTAGAAAAATAATTGCATATTCAAAACATGTCGTATTACAAAAATAATAATCTCACCTTCTTCAATTTCTCCAAATACTATTGAAAAATTGTTTTTTTATTTTCTCAAAAGAAAAACACGAATACAATTAAGAATCAAAATGACATTTTTTAAATTTTCTTTCCATACCTATAACTGTTCATCCTTTTAACACCTCGACTGAAAAGTACTGTATCTGAGAAAGATACAGTTTCAAAATTTTCCTTTTTTCATCAACCTTATTTCCATTAACATCCACATAATCATTCCAGCGCAGCTCTAACATTTCAATACCACTTTTGTCAAATTTATATTTTGTCACAAAAGTGTCGCAACTCTGTACTCGCTTGGCTTTTAACGAGAGGATTTTATTTGCTGTTTCACCTATTCTTCATTCATCCAAATAATGGAAGAACTCATTTGAAACTTAATTAAATATTTATTGTGAAAAACGGAATAAATACTCTACAAATAAACTCACACTCGAATGTTAATGAAAAAAAATACATTAAAACATCAAAAACTCAAATTATACTGCCACCCAGCAGGATTGAAGAGAAGGAGATGTGCTGCATTGCTGATGATCAATAGATTCTCAAATGTATTTCTAAATACTGTCTGTTCATGATCTTGACCCCCCTCAATATTTATGATCATTTATACTCTGATATTGCAACTTTGATCCGGTTACTGTACTAAGGTAAAGTGCTCAGCATGCAAACAGTGCAAAGTTTGCGTGTTTGGAGATTGTTTTATATTTCTATATCCTGTGATTGAAAGATGGAATTCTGAATACTGAGTGTTTTTGTTTTAGAATATTGAAGTTGAGGTTGGAACATTTTTCAATTCATGTATTTACTTGAATGAATTAGAATTATTTCATGATGTTTTTCCATATTTGACAATAGGTCTCAGTTTCAGTAAAAACCTGTTCATTTGAGCGAAATTTTTAACGGTGAGCATTTTTTTGAGGTCTGCGAACGGCCAGTAGTCACTAGAAACCAATGTGAAGCTAATGTAAAGAAATCTTCACAATGCCAGCTAACTTACGCAACTTCACTTTTCGATTCGATCGATTTTGTGTATTTTTTTCATGTTTTTTGGTGTTACTGCTTAATTGGGACGTCCACTGCGTTCTGCATCATCGGTGTCTCTACGACCACGTTTGAAGTCAGCAAATCAACGTCTAATTGTTGTTTCTGATGCAGCAGAGTTCTTATAACAATTTTCAAGACATTGTTTCGATTGAACGGTATTTTTCTCATCGAGAATCAGTGTGAAATTAAAATACGAAATTGTTTTTGATCCATACTTTTGAAAACAATAAATGTAGTGTTTTTTCAACACAATAATCCACAAAGTTATGAGTAGCATATCTTAAAATTTCAAAAGCGTTTAAAGTTAGTACTAACTGAAAATGCAGTGACTAGTGTTACACATACCCGAGACTTTTCAGCTCATGAAGTAACTGTTATTCTTTCACGAAATCTCTGTTGTGATCATCTCCATCTTGAACACAGTTTTGTATTTTTTAAAATGAAATGAATGAAAGTTAATTTATCTTAGATTGTAGAATGTTAATGACATTTTTATTTTTTCACTTATTGAAACGATAAAATACTATCAAGCAACTATTACTTTTCTCGCATCAGTAGAAGTAGTATCCAAGTCATAATATTCAGTATTCAATATAATTCGTTATTCTGCTTTAACGAGAGTTTCCATGCATCAAGTGGATTTGACGCCACAATCGTTTTACCACATTACGTTAACAAACGAAATACCTCATCCTGGAAATAGATTCAGCTTCGAATCCGCTTTTCCATTAATTCTACGAAAAAAGCCTGACACAAATGTAAACTGACTGGAACTGACAATTGGGACACTATAAATTTCCAAATTTTTATTCGACTTAAAAATTAAAATAAATCGTATGTAAAACCAAATTGCTTCTATTCGAAAAAACTTTTAGTTTCGACGATATCACTGAGAAGTAGATATCTCAAACAATTTTACGATTTATTCATTACATTTGCCAAATGCCGCAGATAGTAATGGCCATACAAAACTGAGAGAAAAAGAGAAAGTGATATTTCATATTTCCTTCAATTCAATGAGTTCAATAAACATATGTACCTCATTCCATAGTACATTTTTTCCTGAGCAATACAGATCAGTCAAGAGAGGTTTCTTATTGATTGAAAAAATGGGATTCCAAATGCGTCATATTTTTATGCATATTATGATTCATTCTATTAGAAAATTTGACTCTATCAGTTGAACTATTTTTTTTATTATTGTTTTTTTTTTATTATTGTTCTAGACACAAACTACGTTTCTGAAAAATATATATTTCATTGAAATTCTTATACAGGGTCAAAAAAACTTTGCATCGCCTGTGAGCGATTTTTCAAAGCCCTATTTTGACTTTGTAGAAAAATATACATTTGATACAATGCTACTTCGAAGAAAACGTGTGTGGAATGTAGCATTTTCCAAATTCATGTAGATATTTCCATTAGTTCGAACTTCCATTGTCTAATATGATATAAAATGATTTGAAACCCCTGAAATAATCCATAACAATTGAAAAAATTTGCTAAAAAAATAACAATCATATCAAGCAAAAAAACTGAAATTACCATGAAATAAAATACAGGCTCCAATTGAAAATTGAACTATTAACAAGAAATGAAAATATAAAGATTTCGAGCCAAGTTTCTTCACGACGTTTCGATTGTTAGTATCTACACTCGTTTTTGCGTGATGACTGGACTTTTGAGTGCTTTCACCTATCCCCTTTTCCCTCTCCCCGCTTCATCAGTTTTAGCCGGAGCTGACCGTTTGGCGGGAGTTGGCCGTGTTCCGCTTGATTGAAGGTTTCCATATGTTGCGTATCTCTACGCTAGATTGGCTAAATGCGTTATTGGACAATATATATGCGGCTTCTTCATTTTTTCTCCTGAACCAGTGTTCCTCCTTGTGGATGATTTCAGCTCGAGACCACTTGATGTTATGCTGATAAGTCCAAATATGCTCTGCTATTCCTGATTTCTTCTTGAGCTCGGCAATGCGCACTCGCAGGGTGCGGAAAATCCTTTTATGTATGGAAGTACAAGTACTGATTGTGGCGGCTTTTCTTTCTTGTGAAGCTCTTTCTGTCTTCTAACCAAAGTCTGTTTCATCATCACTTTGGAATGACCATTCCGTTGAAGGTAATTTTTGATGATGCCTAGTTCCATCTCGATACCTTCCTTCGTACCACAGAGCCCGAAAGCACGGTCTACTAGAGTCTTGATGATTTCTCTCTTGGTCGGTTGATGCTGGTTGGATTCTTGGTTCAGATACTGTCCCGTGTGAGTGGGTTTTTGGTATACAGATGTTTCCCATTCAGTGTCGGTCCTCTTCACCAATACGTCTAAGAATGGCTATTCGTTGTGGACTTCCTTCTCCATTGTAAAAGTGATGGAAGGACTTACGTTGTTGATGTGCTTCAGGAAGATGTCTGGGTCTGTTTTCTCATGGTTCCATATTATGAAGGTGTCGTCAACGTATCTCAACCATCAGACTCGGGGCTTCTTGTGGGCATTTTCAATGGTACTCACCTAACCCCACGAACACACGGCACTGATAAAGAAATATTGTGAAACGACAAAAAATTAGTATTCAGCCAGTCCAGCTAGCCGAGCCTTTACTTCTCAACTACATTTGATAGCACGTTTACTAATTATCTGGGCGACTAGGGGCCACAGGCAAGAAATGTTTATGACTGTACTCATCTTTTTATTGCCGTTCCAATTGGGAATGGATAGACTATACACTTCCATCACAGTCTTCCCTCAGTTCCTGAAAAATGAGTCCAGCTATTTATGTATCAAAAATATTTGACCTAGGTTATTGACTTCTGAATCTATAGTTGAAATATATAATGAAGTAGAGGAATAGAGATTTTACTGTACTGAACATTCATGTTTAGAGAAGTGTTTGATCTGATTTTGCATTACCAAACTTTTTCAGTATTCAAAAATTATTTTTCAGTGAACATCATGTCTACAGTTCCTTTCGAATTTGAAATAAAAGAAGCCAAGACGGAAGACAGAGAAAAAATTTTACAATTTTTACGTATATTCTTTTTCAAAGACGAACCTTGTAACGCATACTTGAAAGTTGTAACAGAGGAAAATCCAATCAACGAGGATTTGGAAACGTTTTACATGGATGGTTTTGATAATGGTTTGAGTCTACTAGCAATACATGAGGGAAAACTGATAGGAGTCTGTTTCAATTCTATATTAGAAAAGGGTCAAAGGAGGTCATGGAAGTGCAAAGATGAGAAATTCTCGAAGATTCTTAATCTGTTCAATTATGTTGGCAGCCAAGTGAACACTTTCGATAAATATCCAGAGTGCGACAGAGGTGTAGCAATAGGAATTGTGTCAGTAGATGAGTCATATAGAGGGAAAGGAATAGCAAAAAAACTCATGGAAAAAACGAGGTGATTCATGATGATGATTTCAGTATTAGGAAAAATTTGAACGGTGTAGTCTGATCTGCACTTCAAAGTTGATCTTGTATGTGGGATAGCTGTTACCCTGGGGGTGGATGCTACCCCTTCTTATGGGTGGTGGGTCCGGAAGTGAATTGGCTGAGAAATTCTGAGCAACTTATTGTTTCTAAGTTTTTCCTGAAAGTGGATATTTTTCGACTTATTTGCAACAATTATTTGCAAATCACTCAAAAAGTAGATATTTTCTCAAAAAAATCATGCAGAAAACAAAAAAAAGTAAGTATGGCGTTCATGGAGTAGAAACTACGGAATATTTCATTCAATTTTGTGAATTTNCGTATTTAATATTTGAAGGCATATTATCTAAAACTTCACTAACGTCATTATTCAAAAGGTTGAGATAACCGACGGATGATAAATTTTTCCTAAAAAAAAGGGCCCAATTATTTGGTCGTTAAGTATCCCACACCATACATTAGTTTTGAAGGAATACTGATCACCACATTCAACTGTGAAATTGGGATTATCTTGGGCCCACCATCCATTTGAAGAGAACGTTGCCTCATCTGTCCATAAAATTTTATACGGATACTTTACATTTACTTCTCTCTCTCCTTGAAACCAGAATGAAAACCTCGGACATCAAAATCTCGTTCTTTCAATGTGTAAGGCGAAAATTTATTCATTAATAAAAATTTTCTAACACTTTCTCTCTTGTAATCGGTATTTTTTATAATATCGGTTATGCTCGTTTGCCCGTGTTCAATAACTTTTAAACAAATGTTAAGTTGGGCCTCCTCATCATATTTACTTGGAGTGTGCTTTTTCTTAAATTGATTTGCTACGGATCCTGTTTCTCTGAATTTTTGACATTATCCTTGACACAGTATGTTGAACATTTTTTCCTGGATGCCGTTCATTAAAAATGTTAGCTACTTGCCGGTATGGTGTATTCTCACCACTGAAAGACCTACTACCTACTTAAGACCTACTTAAAAATTTTATTCAACGTGATTACGCATCCTTACCGCCCTAGTTAGTGTTCATGAATAATCTGTAAATACTGAATATTGAAATTTCAATGTGATTTCAACTCTAATAAATTCATTAATACTTATTGCAGTTTTTGAGTTGTGTCTGCTTTTTCAAAATTGAAGGTACTGACGTTTGTTTAAGAAAATAGCCAAGTGATTGAAACTCTGCATGTTAAAATTTTTATAGCACATTTTTAATTTCTCTCTAAAAATATCCGTATAAGTAAAAATTTTTCAGAACAGTTAAACTCCATGATGAGTTTGTTATGTATACATGAAGTTTAACTTCATTGAAACTTTTCGAAAAAAAAGTTTCCCAAATGGTGCGCACTTTAATGGTGACACTGTATAAGTATATAAATTAGTTGCTCTGAAAGAATATGCTCTTTGTGAATTTACTTTTTAACAGTAAGATAGGTTAGTTGGTCGCGATGTTGTGTAGTCGTGGTTTCGTGATAATGCTTTATTTTTGCTGAAATGATACTTCACGTTTGTACAATAGTAATATAATTGTGTCATATCCATAATTTCACATTTTTCATACAGGAAATCTGACGAGAAACGCGAATTTATCGGCATGATCAACTTCATGAATCTTCTTTGTAATACCTCTAGGTGATTGAGGTGTACACGCAGAGCTGATCCCCATGCTGTTATACCATATCTCAAATGACTTTCCACTAGGGAACTACATAATTGTTTAAGTTTTTTGCGAGGTAAGTAATTTTTCAAGGAACAGACGTTGTGAAGCATTGTTTGCAGATTTTTTTATTATATTATTTATATGAGAGTCCCACATTAAGTTTCTATCTACACTGTGTTCGTAAAGTATGGAACAAATTCATTTTTAGCTGAACAGGTCATTTTAAGTAATAATCCTGAAACACGTCGATTTTTGATGTTAATTTACCGTATTTTAAAATAATAATCTAATATACAGGGTGAATTACGTTCGAGTAATGACGTCACCGT